GGGTGCGCTGCATCCTGCTAAGGGTGTTCGGCATCTTGTGCTTTCTTCCTTGCGTACGGATGACAGTTGCGTATGACTTGATTTGTTTCCTGGCGTTCATTTCCGGAGACAGTTGTAAGCACTGTGTAACTGCCTCGAGGGTGCTTGACCATATTTTCACAACGTGGTGCGATCATCCCCCTTGCGCGGAGCGAGGGTTCTCGACCCCGCACAACATGATCTACTCGACCACCATTATGGTTACCGCCAAAAAGAATATTATTTGTAAAAAAACAAACGGTAACCTGGCTGCCGAGTTCACGAAGTTAATTGGCTTGTTTTACAACGTCGTTGCCAAGCGGCGAAAACACAACCCCGATGGCAAACACCGGGGGGGGGGGGCTTGTTTTACAACGTCATTGCCAAGCGACGAAAACACAACCCCTATGGCAAACACCGGGGGGGGCGGCTTGTTTTACAACGTCGTTGCCAAGCGACGAAAACCCAACCCCGATGGCAAACACCGGGGGGGGCGGCTTGTTTTACAACGTCGTTGCCAAGCGACGAAAACCCAACCCCGCACAGAGGGGGGGGCTGGGTTTTCGTCGCTTGGCAACCGGGGGCGCGGCTTGTTTTACAGCGTCATTGCCAACCGACGAAAACCCAACCCCGATGGCAAACACCGGAGAATTAGTGGAGGGGGGGGAGAATTAGCCCATAAATCAAGGGGTTCAATCCGGCACAGCATTTCGCGCCACTCTGTCCGCCTCGTTTCGTTTTCTATCTTCCCTCGCCGTCTCGTCCGTCTGCTGCGCCCCTCCCGCCCCATTGGGTGTTGCCGTGCCGTTGTGTTCGTTTGAGCGCTCTCGTTGTCGGCTAGCCTCGTCTTCATCCTTGTGGCAGGCGGTCATGAACCTCTTAGCTCCCTGCAGTACCCCCCTATGACATGGTACACCCCGCACCATGTTCGCTGCCTCCATCCAATTTGTTTGCGGGACTCCGAAGAAACATGGCTCGGTGTCCATGGATCCGTGCTCTGCCTCGAACATCTTGAGGTCGTCCGTCAGGCACATTTGCCAGAGATTCTCCGATTTCCCCTGCCTGGGCGACCCCCCCCACACCAGCTCGCCAAGCATCAATCATTTCGGGAGTCGCCCGTCTGGCTGCCTTGCCAATGCTCCCGCGAACAGCAAGTGCCGTGCCGGACAGTGGTTTCCACGCTGTGGCACCCTACCCTCTTCAGGGTCTGGGCGTAGGAAAGCTGTCGGTAGGTGCCCTTCTTGCGTTGGTAGCAGATGACAAGCAGGGGCAGCCGGTGGTATATCGACCGCAACACCCGGTAGTGTTCGCGACGTGGGGCCCATGTCATGCAGCCGTACAACAGTGCCTCTATCGCCTCGCCCTGGAGCAAGTGAGTCTTGAGTCGGAACCGTGCTCCCGGCCTGTCGAAGAGCTCCCGGCCATATCTCCTGACGCACGCACGTCCACGCTGTTCAGCTCCGGTAGTTGATCTCCCGAGTGAGGTCGTATGTCACTGACACCGCCGCTCTGACATGGCTGTTCACCGGCCAGAACCTGCCATCGAAGATGCACCGGTGGTCGCTGCGATTGATGCAGTTCGACATCGGCCTCCAGTGGAGCAAGGGCGATGATCACACGGCCCCGGACGCTCTATCTCGACTTCGCTGCAAGGGGCTGTCGGAGCCACAAATCACGGTTCCCCGACGACACCACGAGCCCGGTGGAGAACGGGACCTGTGCTGGATGGTGTACCGCTCAGGACCCTGGCGCCCCCCAACGAGAAAAGAGACGGCGACTCGGCCCCGCTGGAACCGGCAGAGGACATCCAAATCGATCGAGACGACGAGTCAGTGCTGGACGGCGTTCCTCCTGCCGCGCTAGGACCCACCGAGCCCTCCTGTGTGCCGGAGATGAGCCTGGCCGTCTTCTGCGCTCTTCAGCTCACGCCAGAGCCTCCGGAGGACGGTGACCTGCAGCGACTTCGGAACTACGAGAATACGTGGTCCGCCCCGGTTTCCCGACTGCCAAGGACTGTCATCCTCGGCTGCGGAGCTGGTGGAGCACTGTTGGCGCTCCAGGGCCTTCTGCACATCCAGGTCGCAGTCCAACCGGATTAGATCACGTTGGAGTGTGCCCGTGTCAACACCTGGAGCCAGGGAATCCACCTGGTACGCTCGCCCCTTTCAGGCGAGCAGTGCATGCACGCACTGGCGGAGGCGCGACCGGAGGTTTTCATCGGCAATACCTGCCGCGGATACAAAGATTACAGCCAGGGGGAGATTGCCACACGCCAGGCGACGGAAATCGTCGCGACCTTCGCCGCGTCTCGGGCGCATCTCCTTCTCGTGGAGTGACCAGCGGGGTTCTCGCGGACCCCGGCCTGGCGCGACCGCCTGCGACCATGCTTGGAGCAGATCCGGTGCACCGTGGGGGATTCCACCCTTTATGCCACGGATGTGGGCGTCCCCACGAAGCACGGAGTCTTGGTCGTGGCTATCAAGCGGCGGCCCGACATCACTCGCGAGACTTACGCGGAAGCTGGCCCTCTGGAAGCTACGTCTACAGCAGAGAATGGTCACGAAGCCGACCGTTGGTGCGTTGTTGGGACGCCAGAGCCACCTCTTCCTGAAGCGCCCGCCCGGCGACAAAGGAGTCTTCAGCTTCGCGGAACCTGGCGTTACCATCACGCATGGGAGCATCATGGGTCGCCGACCGGCGGAGTACCAGTCTCGCTCTGCCCACGACGGGCCCTTTGCCAATGCACAGGACCTGTCACAGGAGGAGTTTGTGCAGCTCACCACTTCCCAGACGGTTTTCCACGTTCCGCCGAGCGTGCGACGGATCAGTGCTGCACGGGCGCTCGAGGAGTTCACCCTGCCTCCCATGCTACGGGAGGCCTTCTGAGCTGGGCATCCACGGCATCGTCAACCGGAACGCCGACCAACGGGGAAGCATGGACGACGACCAGGCGATCGCGCTGGTTAGCCTGTGGACAGGCCCCGCCGACGACATCGCTGCCATCGACACCGCGACCGTGGCGACCGAGGGCACGTCTCGCTTCGTCGTGATCCCTCGGGTCACGAGGGGTATGGCCCGCCGAGCCACCCGGCCTACGCCGACACCCACCGCCGCACCGTCACTCCGGGACACGGCAAGCGCTGGCGAACGCCGTGGTCGCGGCCGCCACCATGGGACGGAGCCTGCGCGCCGGCCACCATCGGCCCCGCACGTCACAGAACCATGTGCAGAGAACCCATAGACCAGGACCACAGGGCTGCCGCCGCACTCACCTCAGGCCCGGCACCGCCTCCTGCGCCACAGCCAACACCCATGGGCGCGGATGCCGGCCCCATGCCAACGGTCGCCTCACCGCCACCGTCGACGCCACCCCCTGCACCAGGGCCGCCGCAGGAGACCCTCTTGGACGACAACAACCCGCTGGACACGCCGGAGCTACAACGAGGTCTCTCCACCAAGCTAGCGCAGATGGAGGATACATTTCGCGACACTGCCCGACTCGTGGAGGCTCAGCGACGACATCCAACACTTCAACGCCTCCTAGCCGACTTGAAAGCGGGACGTGGAGAGGACGAGGATTACATCCTGGCCGACGACCACCTGCTGTTGCACGCCCCGCGTGGCCGCGCGTGCGCGATCGCGGTCCCCAAAGAGCTGGTGCCCACCGTGTTGGCACTCGTCCACGGCACGTACGGCCACCCTGGAGCGGCATGCACCACCCTCTTCATTGAGCGGAAATCCCAGTGGTCGACCCTCAAGAAGGACGTCCTAGTCTATGTCCTGTCCTGCAAGTGCCGCCGGCGGAAGCGTGCCTGGAGTACGCAATTACTCATGATTCCGGCGCGCCTGCTTCAGCGGTGGGAGGTGCTCGAGATGGGCATCCAAGACCCCAAGGTACCTTCCGACAAGGGCAACCATCACCTACTCGTGGTGGTCGACCGAGCCTCCACGTTCCTCACGGCATTCCCGCTTCCGTCCAAGAAAGCCACCGGGCTGAGTCGCAAACTCTTGGAGCTCCTGCTCATCTTTGGCCTGCCCTTCTCGATCCGCTGCGACCCGGGTAGCGAGTTCACCGCGGAGATGATGCAACACCTCTGCCGCTGGCTGAAGATGCCGCTGAACCACGGCGCTACAAACCATCCCCGCGCCCAAGGGGCGGTTGAGGTGTTGGGGGCTCTATCCCAGCTGTGTACCGCGTGACCCAGGCGGCGGGACGACTTCGTACCTGTGGCGACCTGGATCCACCACGTGACGCTCGACGCGCCCCTGCCCGATGGAGAGCCCCCCTACCGGGACTCGAGCGGATTGTCGCCGACCAACAACGCATGACCAGGGAACTCCTGGCCTATCATCACGAGGCCCAGAACCACCATCGGGAACGCCACAACGCCCGAGTGGCGAGGGAGTCACCCGGAGACAAAGCCGCCGTTGGAGACTCCGTTCTCGTCAAGGAACCGGCCAACACGCTACTCCGGGACAGCCACTGCCCTAAGCGTGCGCACAATCACTTCACCGGCCCGTAGAAGGTCTCCAACGTCATCCACGATCGTCTGAGCTTCACGGTCCAGCTCAACAGTCGCCGGGTCCGCCGACGCAAGGTGAGAGCGCCTGATCTCAAGCCCTGGCATGTGCAGCCGCATGACCTTCGGCTGCCGTACGAGGATGAGTTTGCGCACCTCGGGTGGTCGGCTGACCTCGGCCTGGCCGACACCTCCGTCGTCGCCGTGCCCCTGTACACGGTATTGGATAGGCGGGTGGTACACGGTGCCGGCAACACGCCGACGTGGATTTGGGGAAACCAAAGGCCGTTACCAGGACTGTGCTCTCTCGTCCTGCATGACTGAGGACGAGGCCGGCGACAGCTTTTCGCCGCTCCAGCTGGACGCCTTTCACGCACTGTACGAGGCCTACCATGGCGAGGACGCCGCCCCACGACCCATCGGGCCGCCTACCCTGGGCGAGCGCGAAGTGGCGTCCAGGGAGTAGGAGTTGCAGCTTCCCGGCGGTTACTCCGGTCGGCCGTGAGTTCGACGACAGCGACGGCCACCTCAGGGTTTTCAAGGCGACCGTCTTCGACTACTGCGACCCTTACTGGCGCGTGGAGTATCCGGGCAGAGATTGGGAGGAGCTTACGAAGCGGGAAATGGATGCGGGCATCGGCGTAGCTGCCCGAACGCCTTCCTCTGCCTGACCCTGGACGACGGACTGTTACCACTGTCGTGAGCCCGCCGTCTGTCGTTCAGCAGCCTGGGGGGGTGCGCCGGCAGTGGGAGAACGTGTAAAAGTGTCGCGTCGTCTTCTTTTCGAACCGGGGGAGACCCAGACTCTATCTGGGCATGGAAGTAGGAACAGTGTGGGGGCACCATACGACCCTTCCGTTAGCATAGCCATGTACCACGGTCTAAGTTGGGGGGGTGTTCTGGACGGCCGTGTGCACCGGTTCAGAATAGTGCGATGACGGGCACTTGTGACGCAAGGCACAAGTGTCCGGAGTACAAGTCCCTATGATGGGCACTGAGACATTATTATCCGCAAGTCCCGGAGGTTCCCGATAGATTTATCCGACTATCGGGTTATAATGGAACCAGTGGAGTAATTGCCGTTGGTTTTCATTCCCCGCGCGATGATGAGACAGTTCCTTCGACTGATAGCTTGCAGCTAGCTGTCAGTGACCGAAGTGTCCGGAAGTGAAGACGAAACTTTTGTGAACGAACCTGTTCTGCGCGCTATCGAGCTGTAATCGCGACTGTAAGTGATGACCACGCATGACTGACCGGATTATGGAGTATCGGAAGAGCTGGAATTGCATGAACACTTGGAGTACCGCAGGTTTCTCGCTTGTGCCGTGATCATGGAACGCTTGGCATGTCTACAATCGAACTCACAGCGAACCAGTAATCTGTGCAGGTGAGAATGAATTACCTGGTGATGACGCAGATTATAGCCCTTCTCTGAAACACATACGCGGGCGCCTTCCGTGCTCACAGGCCAACTACATGTAAGGAAAGTAATAGAGAAAGTCATGTCATGATCCATGGGACCCAGAAAAACTCTCCCGTACGTTGATGATGTTGTCGAGCATGGCCGCGAATACGCCTACCTGACGCTATTGCTCCCCCCACTCACCGACATTTCACCCGCACAAACCACTTTGCGGGCTTCTGCTCCGTTGGACAACGAACAACATCACATGGTGTGAGTACCGTGTTGCATGCGGGAAAAGAGCCACGGGATGAACCGGGCCACAGCACTCATCTCGACAGCTCCTCTTGGCGTCTGCAGGCAGGTTGGACCGGCATATGAGTCAAGCGTTTGTTGCATTCAAGGAGAATTCGTCGGAAGTGCTTGATTTTGATGAAGTTTCTGACCCGTTTGATTTTGTCCGGGATCGCCCCCGCCGTTGGTCCGCCAACACCTGTGGCTCACCGGTAGCGGTGTCGTCTTGGTGTGGGCGACGGTTGGTGCCTGGTGGATTTCAATACCACTATCTTTTCCAACAGTGTATGAGGCATACCCCAGAACCGACATTGAGAGTACTGACCACCACCGTCCCCGGAGGGCCCTTCCGAAACGCTCGCCGTCAAAGGGGCGAGCTGACGATCCTTGTCACGGGGAATCGGCAAGGAGCAGCGCGCACAGTCCAAGGTCTTAGCAGACGCCGCACGAGTGGCCGCTCCTAGAGAAAGCGATCTCCCGCGTTAGGTACGTACGGCAGATAGTTTTGAAACGGGCACCCCTGCGAGTCGTGGCGACACGAAGCGTGGCGGCCCTGTGGTTCTCGGCGAATTCGGCAATGTATTCGACCTCTCTCTCCGAATGACCCCTCTCTTGCTGTGACAGGAAAAATTGCAGCGACGGTTTACTCGTGCTCCTCGCGCTCATCCGTGCTCTTAGGACATCGATTGCGATGCTCCCAGGACTATTGCTACGATTCAGACATAGTCTTGTTCTGGAACGCCCCCCTTTTTGTTCTGCCAAAGCGTTTTCGATTTATGTGCGGAGCACTTGTTGGTGCAAAAAAGCTAAGCCCTTTTGGCGTCGGCAAAATGCTCAAGTGTAACATGAGATGTTCGGACCCCGGCCTCCACAAGATGCAAGAACGTGCAGTCCGCAGTTTCGATCAAACTTTCTAGGAACACGAGCGCGAAATATCGTGCTGAACGGTTGGTACGCTAATTTCGTTCAAAACCTCAAGCTTCTTCAACACATTCTTGGTTTGGGACAAAGTATTAGCTGAGAACAGTCCCCCTGACCGTATAAACGGAGCATCGATCTTTGAGCGGACAATCCGGGCGATTGTCCAAAGCCCGGTAGCCGGCGGGGGGGGGGGGGATCCACCCTGCTTCGACCGTCGTCCTTGGTCCGTCTGAGCGTGCAGTCTCTTCGACGTGAACATCCAACCGCCTGTTTGGCCGTTTGGGCGCACGCTGTTCTAGATGGTGTCATGCACCAGTGCCGAAGGAAGATGACGCTATTCTCCGGGCAATATCTTGCAAATGCGGGAAAGAAGGCCGAGGAATCACGTGCATGTGGGCTAAGAAGCACAGTTCAACAACAGTGAGCGAGTGGGATCAGCTNTGTCCAAAGCCCGGTAGCCGGGGGGGGGGGGGGGGATCCACCCTGCTTCGACCGTCGTCCTTGGTCCGTCTGAGCGTGCAGTCTCTTCGACGTGAACATCCAACCGCCTGTTTGGCCGTTTGGGCGCACGCTGTTCTAGATGGTGTCATGCACCAGTGCCGAAGGAAGATGACGCTATTCTCCGGGCAATATCTTGCAAATGCGGGAAAGAAGGCCGAGGAATCACGTGCATGTGGGCTAAGAAGCACAGTTCAACAACAGTGAGCGAGTGGGATCAGCTCTACATCCTACACGAGCGCTATCCCAACCTTGAAAAGAGGACACAATATTTGAGGCTTACGACCCTGCGGCCGGTGTTTCGCTACATGGTAGAGAGTGGTTTCCAGGACAGTTGATGTATTTCATGTTGTTGCGCTCATTGGTTTTGCTTTGGTTCAGTTCTCATTTTTTCTCGTCCCCATAGTTTTCCCTTTTCTATGAGTTGATCTGGGGTGTCCTCTAGGCTTCTAAGAGGGACGGAGACCGCGGGTGCGGTAGTCTGGCCGCATTCATTGGGCCTTGGAGATCACTCCTTGTTGCTGCTTGTCTTGTCTCTTTCGTCCTTTTTATGTTGCGCTTGTACGAGTTGAGAATGACGCTTTGTTCTCGTGATCGCGGTGGATTTTGTCCCTGTTGGGCAACATGATGCAGTTCTTGAGTATGATAAGCTTCGGTGCCGATTGCACGTCATGCGGGGATCAGGAGGCAAGCAGCGTTGTAATTAATGCCAGTGTTTGTTGCAGGTTGAATATGCTTGGAGGATTGGTTAAAATCACCCTTGGTAAACGCTGGTGTTGCCTGCCGCCGCCGCGGAGATGGTGAGTGGTTTGTTCATGAATTTTCTCACCGCGATCGAAGGTGAGATATGATAAGTTTAAGAGGTTATGGGCGTCGTCCGTTTTCTTCGGTCATTTCGTTTCCTCGTGTCGTGTTTTCTTTTGTTGTTGGCCGAAGAAAACCTTGGGCAGATGTGTACCATCTTGGGTCGATGCATTGGTTTCGTGCTCGTTGACTTTGCCCCCCGCAGTGCTCTCGTCTGTTCTAATTTGGCACTATTCGCTGGTAGTTTCGAGAGTTGCGGCTATGTACATGCTCTGCCGCTCCGGAAGAAATTGCGTTGTCCTTGGGTCCTCACCACCCTCTCTCCCACCACCACCCCCCCCCACCACCACGACATCCACTACCTCCGGGCCAAGCGCAAAAGGATCACCAGACAGGGATTTGTTCGAGCAAAGAGGNCTCTCTCCCCCCACCCCCCCCCCCCACCACCACGACATCCACTACCTCCGGGCCAAGCGCAAAAGGATCACCAGACAGGGATTTGTTCGAGCAAAGAGGGTACGCGTTTGTGGCCTGGCTAGAAGACAGCTAGTCGTCGTCGGAAGAACAGGGCGGCGGCATAGTGAAGACGTATATCCCACCAAGTAGGAAGAGTATGAGTATAGGGTTTAGGGCAAAAATTCCCGCCTGGCTTTCAGACTCCGTTTTCAGTTACGGTATTGTAGTAATCATTGGAACGCCGCCAAATCAATCACAGAGGAGGGGGGTATTTTGGATGAAGCCCTCACATTCAATCGAGCAGTTGTGTAGCGAGACATGGAGCTGTTCATTGCCAGAAATTGATCGCCCTGAGATAATGGTGGTTCGATCGGGGGCGGGTGCCGTGATTTTGGTTCTGCCTACATAGATAGGAGATTGCGATAGGTAATCATGGCGACAACGGTAAACGTCGGTGAACCGAATCTGCCCTCGTTTAGCTGCGAACACTCTGTACCGGACACATGCGGACATGGCATGATGTGGTGGGGGGGGCGAGGGATTTCTCAAACAGGGGACGCCGCATAAAATAGTGGTAGTATTATACAGTAGGTGTGACTACCCGGGGGCGGGCGTTTGTTGTTACACCCCAGATACATGAGCTATCGCATTTCTTTACTTGAATGTACAAATGTCTACATACATGTCTTTTTTTGTCCTTTTCGTTTCTTCCCCGGATGGCCTTCTCCCTTTCTCTGTGCAACACCAAGATTGCACCAGGGGATGGACGTACCTCCTCTATCTCCCTGGCCCGTCTGTCTGCTATGTTTGAGGTTATTTCTGCGCCACTCCACAACAACCAAGCGTGTTTGTTTGTAGAGGGGCGCGGAGGACCCTAAACTACGTATGTATCTGTCGTTGATTTTTATTGCCTTGCGAACCCTTCCGGTCCATTATTGTTGAGTTCACATGTTGTGGGGCAGTTAGTCTGTGACCCCATGGAAGGGAATCGCGCTTCAAGTGTTTGATCAGTACGGACAGATGGAAGGCACTCGGTAGCGATATCAGACCTTTTTCTATGGGGTGAAGACAACGACAACAACGACACATACATACATGTACTCTCATCTCAACCATAGATAGACGACAACTGCTGGGAATAAATCAGCAACGGTTCTACTTCGAGAAGTTTTGGAGTTTAGGGATTCAGAGAAACAAATCCTGGAACTGCGCTGCTGCTGCTGCTAGCTAGTCGAAATAAATGTAGTTTCTCAATTCTTCTCGCGATGCTTAGATCTATAGACTAAAGAAAAGAAAATGAAAAACTTGGTTGCTTATCACATGATGATGGATTCCTGCTCTCCTTTTCGCCTTCCGGCTTATCCGAGAAGCCTCAGCTGTGTGGGCTGCCAGACGAAGACAACGCGGTCAGCACCTCTCCCAGGACGCGAGAGCTCGGGACGAACGTCTCCGAAATTGTTAGGAAACATAAATACAAACACAAATCCAAGCAAGAAGCACGAACAGAGCAGGGCAGCAGGGCGAAAATCGAAGATCGAAGAACGTTCCTGAAGAAGAACGGTTCCCAGAGTCTCAAAGAACCTGCGGAACGGCGATCTTCTCAACTTTCATGCAAGAGGTTACGCCGCCTCTGCCACACGCCCTCGCCCTCTCGCCCCCCACCTCCTCACACAACTATGGACAGCATCAAGAACAAGAAGAACAACAACAACACCATGAACAGCAAGGCAACGGAGAACACGAATAACAACAACAACGACATCAGCATGGCAAAGTGCGTGACAAACAAGCCCAGCTGCAAGCGTGCGGTAGAGCCGAACCCTCTGCTGTACAAGGCTGCAGCGAGGAACCTTCGCGATGTGCACGATGTCCTCTCCATGACGGCGGGCGGCCTGGAGAAGACCATGGTCCTGCTTCAGCTCCGCCCCGGCCGCCTCGTGGCGCAGGGACTTGCCCCAAAGCAGCTCCTCAAGGGAAAATCAGCAGCTGACGACGCTGACGCGGACGATACCGACAGCAGCAGCAGCAGCAGCAGCGGATCCGAAGTCAGGGCAAGCGGACAACAACCGGGTCTCGGACGACTCGAACAGCAACAGCAGCGACGGCACCGACACCGAGCACGACCACGTTGCCAAAANAACAACAACAACGACATCAGCATGGCAAAGTGCGTGACAAACAAGCCCAGCTGCAAGCGTGCGGTAGAGCCGAACCCTCTGCTGTACAAGGCTGCAGCGAGGAACCTTCGCGATGTGCACGATGTCCTCTCCATGACGGCGGGCGGCCTGGAGAAGACCATGGTCCTGCTTCAGCTCCGCCCCGGCCGCCTCGTGGCGCAGGGACTTGCCCCAAAGCAGCTCCTCAAGGGAAAATCAGCAGCTGACGACGCTGACGCGGACGATACCGACAGNGTGCGGTAGAGCCGAACCCTCTGCTGTACAAGGCTGCAGCGAGGAACCTTCGCGATGTGCACGATGTCCTNTTCCAACACGTCTGCACGACTTTACCTACCCCTACGGCCCGTCATGGCCGAGCTGCTCTACACTCCCATCACACACAACTGAGCCACCCGAATTATCGATCAGACGATACCGACAGCAGCAGCAGCAGCAGCGGATCCGAAGTCAGGGCAAGCGGACAACAACCGGGTCTCGGACGACTCGAACAGCAACAGCAGCGACGGCACCGACACCGAGCACGACCACGTTGCCAAAAGATATACTCGTAGCATAGCATGCGGGTGGTATATTGCGTATACATATGCGGGTATGCAGCGACGAACTACGGAGGAACAAGAAGTTTCTTTTTGTTTTCCTTGGGAGTGTGATAGATTGGTGGACATTCATGGAGATTCGTTTTGGGTGTTTGAGCGTTATGCGTGACTTGATGTCGTGATGGAATGACGAGCTCAAGCACGCCCCCGATGAATACAACGTATTTACAACACGTTTTCCAACACGTCTGCACGACTTTACCTACCCCTACGGC